CTATTCTTACTTCTTGTCATTATTCTAAGAAAATTGGAACAATTTCGAGAGATATCAAATTCATACTAAACAGCCTGAATCCATTAATCTGCACACAGTTCCATCCCATTGAGAAATTTTAGGGAATTGGCAAAGGATATTTGCGTAAGAGTGGCAAAACAATAAGTACAGCTTAAGATTTGATTAGAGGGTGAACATTAGTATGGAAAAAATTTGTAAAAGACACTGTGCAGAAGTTGATGTCGTCAATTAGCATAAATGTTTGCTATTCGAAATAATGAAAAATATTAAATAATAAGCACTTAATCTTCAAGTTCCTTAGATTAGTTTTTGTATTAGTTGAACTATTTTTTGTTTGTTTTTTTGAATTTTTTATCGTTTTGAATTTAATGATAGCATGTTTTAGTGCCCAGTGGGCACGGGACATACAAAAGAGGTCTTTTAAACGTCTTTTGAAAGTTTTGTATGCCTTTTGAACATTTTGGATGTCTTTGGGACATTCAAAAGACATCTTTTTTAGGTACCGTGCCCCCTGGGTAGAATTAAAGTTTGGACTAAAAACTCTAGTTTTGGGTAAATATATTATTTACCCAAAATTATAGAAAAAAATTTTTGTTTACCCAAAAAAAAAATTTTCAAATGTAATATATAGTAGTAGAGTAGAGTAGTGATAGTAATACAATAACCGTGTAATTGTGAGAGTTGGTTAAAAATTAATTGCTATAATTGGCATAGTTTTGGGTTGGCAAATGTGATCAAAAAAATGTCCAAAACTTGCGACTTTTGTTCATAAAGTTTGGGAGCCGGAGCTGATTATTTCTTAGGAGCTGGAGCCAAGCCGTAAAAAAAACAGTTGGCTCCACAAGCCTGCTGCAGATAACAAAGTTGCATCCCTGTCAGCAGATTGCTTCAACTGTAAGCTTAATGGGAAACAAAACTCAAAGGATATCCAACAACATTTCAAACTCGGCATCTGAAAATAAAATAGGTAATTTTAAATCAATTAGACTCTTTTTGATGCAGTTTTTTAATTTAATGAAATGTTCTATCAGAGACACCAATCTATTCCATCATGTTTTTGAGTCTAAAATCAGAGACAATTTTTTCCCAAACTCTTCTTTTACATATTTTTGTAGGATATTGTCATTTTTTGTAGACAAAGATCAAAATATTTTGATACCTACAATATTCTTCTTTGAAAACTCAAAATCACCTAACTTGTTATTCACAAGCTCAACACATTTTTTCTGCTGGAATTGTTCCAAAAGCACAAATCAATCCTAGATTCCAAAATTTTTTGTCAGAGTTGAAATTAATATTTATGTAACATCTATTACTTACCGATGTCAATTCATTGAAAGTAGAAGAAAATCTGTTTTTATTAGCAATTCTGCAAGATAATTCTTTAATTATATATTTCTACTGTAATTAAAGAAATTTTGTGAATTGTTTTGTGATTTTTTGATATGTTACAAAAGCCTCTGGCTGTTAAGCTTTTTCTGACATTATATAATGTGTAGATAGTATTGAATAAAAAAACATAACACTCAGTCTTTTTATCTGAAAATGAGTCATCCATTTTATCACTTTTAAAAAAGATGCTTATATTAAAGGTTTTGATTTCTGTACAAGGTTTTGATTTCTGAAAAATCTAAAACAGTAATGTTACCTACATCTCTTTTCAATATATTGATTTCCTGAACTGTTTTCAAATGAGTACAAAGACCGCTTATAGAACCTCCATGCGTTTTTACTATTCTTTTACACAACTTGCATTTAGCACACTGCTTTTTCTCTTAGAAAATAAAACAATGGTGAATTTTTATCATTTGCTTTAAAATGCTCCTCACAATATTCATATTATTGAATATTCATGTCAGTGTAAAATACAAATTTTTTTATAAGTTCGAAACTCTATAATAAAGTGTGTAATTCATACTCTGATTAAAAAGAAAATATTTTACTTACCATTTAGAATTTTTAATAACATTTTATTTTTATATTATAGCAGGTAAAAGTAACCTATATCATATAACCACAATTTATCTATGACCTATACCACAATTTAATTTTGCACAATTTTGTTTTGATTTGTAAGATTTTAAACTTTTAAACTTTTTATAGAATACTATAGATTACTATAGAATACCATGATTGCTGCTATTTTCCCATTAAGAAATGATAATAAAAAATAGTAAAAAACCATAAAAAACATATCGATTAAATTAAATCGCATATAGGTAAAATTATTTTGAATATTAATATAATTTATATTGGTTTTCTGAAAAAATATATATCAAGCCTTCCCGGGAAGCGTGCGCAGTTGCACGCTTTGTTCGTTCATAATTTTTTTAAACAATTAGACCACATTTTTTATAGTAAACATTTGTTCTCAAAATAATATTATACGTAAATATTTTACTGTTTTTGTTTTCTTATTTTTAGGGCGTTTTTTATTTTCCACTACCAAAATTAATACAAGTCGAAAGAAAAAGTAGATAAGAATATAACAAAAATAAAAATATTTTTTGATATACAATTTTTTTGAGACTTTTATCAATATTTCATATATTGAGGTAATACTTTATAATTTGCGCTAGAAACACTAACAATTTTTAAATTTGTTTTTCATATGTTTTTGCTAAACTTTACTGTTTTTATCAATGCACAGGAAAGCAAGAAAACTAATTGCTATTTCTTTAAAAAAAAAAAAAAATTTTTTCAACATGTTTTTTTATGTAAAAAAACAAAAAGTCATTAATACTAATATTTAAATATAAAATAATTGGTTGTTTTTAATACCCCCATTGAAATAATCTGCACTTTTTAAGGATTATCCAAATTGTGCATTTAAACCTGATAGTTTATTTCCTGATAAACTATTGTTATTGACGATGTTCTAAAAGCTTGTGGGCAAGTGAATTATTACTTTAGTGAACTTTTTTAACGAAATGTTTAGTTAAGAAGCAAGGCTTGGTGCTTACTCACAACACTTTCATAAGTCAAAAATTTGCATTAAAATTCAACCTATTAAGACACTGGAACATTATAATACACTAAACAATGCATTATTTTTATATAAAAAGATATTTGATAATGTTTTTAAAAATTGGAGAAAATTTCTGATGTTTACAATAGTCTTATCATATCAATCAGTTAAAATAATTTACAAAAATCATTTTGATGTTTAGTGTTTTGCAACACTTTTAACAAAATACACTTTTTTTTAATCAAATAAAAGTTCGTAATATTGGCAACTTGGCCAATGATCTTCATGAACTGTAGTATATACTATTTTTGAATACCATTCGTGTATGTTATACTTTGTTGTTTATCTACTTCCAGAGGATGCATGTTAAGTGTAGATACATCACTTTACGATACTTTACCGGGCGCTGCCCGAATAAAGAATTTATTTGATAATTTTTTAATAAAAATAAATCACCCTCTAAAGTTAAATTATTTTAAAACAAAAAAGTTAAAATCTAATAAACACCATAATCAACTTTAACTCAAAATATATAGATTGCAGGTTTAACTCAAGATACTTCAAATATAGCATTTAGTATCATGTAAGATATCTGGCAACCCTAGTTAGAATGATATGTATAAAAGATGAAATAACTAGTTGAAAATCAAAAAGCATTTGGTCACACACTAAAAATTTCACTGAGAACATTTATTGCACTGGAAACAAAAAATTTAACAATAACTTTGAAACAAGTTATTGAAAATCTTAAATTGAATGTTTCAATATGCTTAATAAACCAACAGAAAAACAAACCCTTCATTAGTGGTATGAACAAAAACAAAAAACAATGTATTTGTGTATGCAAAAAAGCATATTAACAAGAATCATTTTGGAATACAGCATTATGGTTTATTGAGAGTAAATTTCAAAAAATACAAAAAACAAAAAAACAAAAAAAAAGTTTGGTGCAGACTTTGTGTCTGCAAAACCATTTGTCATCAGACTTTGTAACAAACCATTTTATTGAAATCTTAAAAAACTGTTAAACATGAAGATGGCTCACCATCACCCAACCTAGAAATGTTTGAGGTCAGCAAAAAACTACTAACCTTATTTTTATGTTTTATGCTCAAACCTTTGTTTTATATTTTTTCTGCCAACCTCACACTTTATATATATATATATATATATATATATATATATATATATATATATATATATATATATATATATATATATATATATATATATATATATATATATATATATATATATATATATATATATATATATAAATATATATATATATATATATATATATATATATATATATATATATACATATATATATATATATATATATATATATATATATATATATATATATATATATATATATACATATATATATATATATATATATATATATATATATATATATATATATATATATATATATATATATATATATATATATATATATATATATATATATATATATATATATATATATATATATATACATGGTGGCCACAAAATATTAAAAGTAAAATTCTAGGACATTTCCAGGACATTCCAGGACATTTTGTTGCGTTTTCCAGGACATTTTATATCTTATTAAATGAATATTATCAATTATTTTACGTTATATTTTTTTCATATTGATTGAATTATAGAATAGAATACTATATTATTATATTATTATTACTCTTTTATTTAAAATTAAATTCAAACCATTTATATAAAAAAAAATTTCGCATAAAAAATTTAATATAACTTCAATATTATTATTAATTTTTTAACTTGACTCAGAAAAAAAAAAGTCTATTTTCAAAACTAAAAAAACTCAATAAAAATTTAATTGTACTTTTAAACAAAAATTAATTCTATTTAAAAATTTTTTATTAAAAACAAGAACAATTTGAAATAAATTAAAACGCCTAATGTGAAAAAAAAGTTAATTTGATTCTAAGTTACACTTTTAAATACTGTTGTTTAAGCTGTAAAACAAATATTAAATACCAAATACCTATTTTTAATTTCACTTATAGCTGCCACAATATCAACTGTAGTGTATCTTGCCTTCATTTTGCTAATTTATTTAAATAATGTGAGAAATAATAAAATACATAAATTTACACAAATTTAAACAAATGCACAACAACAAAAAATATGACACGTGCGAGTTCGGATACAAATTACGACACAAATAACGACAATGAAATACAGCGGTTCGGTGTCTTTAAAGCGAAACTTTTAAGAGCGAAAATTTTGAAAGCGAAAGGTCGGGAAAGCGAAAAAGTGAAAAGCAAATGCGATTGGTTAAGCGAGTGAATTTTTTTAATAACATTGGTAACATCTTAAATTAAGATGTTATTAAGACTTAATAACATCTTAATAACATTGGTAACATCTTAATAACATTTTAATAACATTGGTAACATCATTATTTTTATATAAATATATACGAGTTAACCTATTATCAATTTTCATTGAATTGTGTCATCTTAAAGTTGTTACAATTGAAGTGAGTCAATTTCAGAAATAAGTTCATGAAGTTTATTATAAACTTTAAAAGTTTATATTTTATAGAAAATTGAGTAGGGCAAAATTGAAATGTTTAGAATTTTGCTCCAAAACAAAGCGTAAAAGTTAAGTGTTTATACCAATGATAAGAGGGAAAATTAGTTGTTTTCCCATAAAAAATTTAGTTAGTTAGAAGTGGTTTTCTTTTATGTGATAGCATATCGGCCAGTTATATTTACTGTTTAATTATCTGCAAGGAAAAGTGAGTATTTTAAAATTTGTGTTTAAAATAATGTTAATAATTGTTATCAGACATTCACTTTAGAAATATGAATTATAGCTTAAAGCCTGTGTCAAAAATGACTTTTATATGTTGTATTTAAATATGACTTAATGATATTTTTATATGACAAAAATGGCTTTTATATGGTGCATTTGCCTGAAATTTGACTTATAGTCTATTAGTCAAAAATCATAATATAAGTCTCTATAATAAAGATACTTATATTGTGACCATTATGTATGGCATTATCTTGATCGATGTTGTTACACTTGGAATATGTTGTTTCAACTTTTAGGTATTTTATTTTGCTACAATTTTTTTATGATGTTGTTTTAATTTGATTTGTTCTGTAAACAGAAAGCTGTACAATGTCCTTTTTTTTCCCATGTGTTGAATTTCAGCAACATTTTTGTCAAAATTATTTATAGTTCATTTTACAAGAGGTAGTAGAAGATTATTTTATTTTTAACTACTTTCTTATTTTGTAACATGTTTTTTTTTTTTTTTAGAACAATTTAAGAGTATGATTTAATTAATAACTGTGTGAATCTTCTTGGTTGATGCCTAAAAGATTTTTTGAAGGCAGTTCAACATTTTATTGAAATATAAAAACATGCCAATATCCCAAAAATTATTCTGCGTAATGTTTTTTGGATTGTTTGCATGTAAAATTAAAATTTAGTCATTGATTGTGAAAAAGACTAATTGGCTAATTAGTTAAAAAGTTTCAATGGTGATGATTGATTGGTGAGAAACTTATTTACTTTTTATGTTTTAATTACATGATTTGTTAATATTTATGATATGAATTGTTTGTGAGCTCAGTATAGTAAAGTTTTTATTTCTACATTTGTATTACTTAGCACAAATATTTTATAATTTTGTCTACAGATTGGTTTATAATAGCCTTAATTATCTTATTTACTTAATGTTCAGTATACTGTTATGTTATTTTTAAACTAAATAAAATAGTTTTTAAAACGAAAATTACTGCTGGCTCTATATGAATCTAATTTTAGTTTACTTCTTTGGGAATTTTATATCATTTACTAAGTTTATTGTATTGGTAACTTTTTTATTAATAAAAAAAGAATTTTGTTACAAAAAAATAGTGTAAAATGCATAACATCCCAGCTATTACAATACATTAGAGGGCTTTCATTGGAAATTTTTTTTTTTTTTAACATTTTCATTTCCAACAAGACTGCAAGCACCTACTATTAGAGAAAAGATAAAATTTATAGAGCAAAATAACAACTAACAGAAAAAATTAATAGATTGCGAATTATATGAAAAAAAAAAACAAGCTGAAGCAAGTGAAAAAAAAGTTTCACGAACTTTTTGGGCACTAAGGAACAGTCATATTAAAGGATTAGCCTTTATTGAATGATGAGTAACACGATAGTGAGTTTTAGTAGATGACACAAGAGACGCTAGCTCTTTAGAGCAGTGTCCATAATAGTATTTATAAAAATAAAAAGAGAAGCGACATTAAAATAATATTCTAATGGTTGGAGGTTGGCTGCAAAGGTCAAGGTGCAAAAACAATTCCTTTTTGTACCTTGTCTAAAAGAGAGCCATTACTGGAAGATCTGATTAAGATATGGCAAAAGTATTCCATGCAGGGATGGATTTAGAATTTATAGAGATAAGACATTTATAAATATTTATAGAGATGTTTGAATTGATGTATACTTTTAAATTTAATATTGTATCATAAGTTGACAATATATTCAAAGACTGAAATTTAGCACAATTGTTTTAAGCAAAAGGTCTTTGCACACCACCAATTAAGCATTTATTTTTCAGGAGTTGTTTATTAATAAAAGCTTGCCTTAATTTGCATAAATAGTAATATTTGTAGATATTATTATCTACTAGATAATAATTTATCTTAAAAACTAACCTTTATATGTCTCTTTTTCAAATATGTTGTGTTAATATATTTGCCCTGGCTTTTAGTTTATGACTCAAAATTTAAACATCAATTCTTGAGGTTTAACTATCTCATCATTTCTAAAAGTATCAAGGGTAAACAGCTTAACTCACCATACCTAATCAAAATAAAAGAACATTATAAATTCGAATCTTTCTAATTTTATGAATAATTTTTATTTAAACATTAAAACAATCTTTTGCTTGAAATCTAATGCATAAATTTCAAAAAACAAATTAAAATTAAATAATATCAATAAGAAACTATGCAAATCTTTTTTTTTTTTATATATATATAACTTATTAACTTGTAGTGCAATTATAATTTTTATGCAAGATTTTATTAATTAAGATTTTATTAAGATTTTAATTCTATACTAAAACTATATACATAAACTCTAAACTATATACAATAAGTTTTTTAATTTATTTAATCTAATAAACTCTAACTGTAACTATAACTCTCAGCTAGAATATCAAATAAATAATTCTAAACTATAACTAACTTATAATTATAAAAAATTTAACTAATTATAAAAATATTAACAGTTTAAAAAAAATAAAATCTAAACGCTAAATAATCTATAATATAACATTGAAATAATAACAAAATCAGAAAAAAATTCCAATAAATTTCAGTTGCTGTTGCTGTTGAGCTTATCGCGATACTCGATTTCCCGGTTTTCGCTTTCAAACTTTTCGCTTAAACATTCTTTCGCTTTAAAACTTTTCGCTCTTACGTTCTTTCGCTTTTAAACTTTTCGCTCTTACCTCCCATTACCAATACAGCGAAGGAAGCAAAACAAGGGGAAATTTGGGTAAAGCTTATTAATAACAAATTAATTGCGCGTGACTATGATAAAAAAATTTTTTTATTATTCTTATAACTATAACTAAAATGCATTCCCAAAATTCTTTTGTTTTCTTTTTTTTTAGTTTTTCTAGCTATAAACTAAAATGGATTGCAGCCAAACTAGAATTTTATTTTTCTTCGTTATCTCTACTTTAATTCCGTTAGGACAATTTAAATAATTTAAGAAATAGAAATTTTTCTTAATTTCTATTTCTGGTTTTTTTTTATGATCTTGTATTCCATGGTCATAGTACACATGTATGGGGGAAGAGGGTTTCCCAAAAACACACAAATATGTACATACTTTATAAATGATATCTTATTATAATGCTTTAAGAATGTTTTTAACTCATTATAAGAACAGTTAGTAATTCCAAGTTTTAATTGTAACTTTATTGTAAATACGGCTGGGTTTTTGGTTTTCCATCATATAGCAGGGGCGAGGTGGCCCCAGAGGCCATGGGGTTTTACTTATTTAAATATGGGCATTTTAGCACTTTTTAATCCACGTATGGGCATTTTAGCAATTTTTACTTTTTTTGACATTCTTAAAAAAATCTATTTATTTTTAAAATAAAAAGCATTTTTACACACATACAACTTTTTCGTTATTTGTTATTTTGACAAAATTTTGCAGCAAACCATAGAAACCAATAGAAACCATAGAAACCAATAGAAAGGTGAATAAATAAACTTTTTAATTATATAACTTTTGTGAAACATACTCGAAAGGTAACTGATGCGTTGAGAATAGAAATAATAAAACTCGGTACAAAGTACTTTCAAAAGATCGAGGATCTTTTTTTGCCCACTAAAAGTTGTTCTATAAACAAAACTTGGTTCAAATAACTAGTTGGAAATGATTTTGAAGAGCAAATGGTATGCTCATGGTCACCTTCACCTTTCAAAAACTCTGCTTTTTGTATTAGATGTCTTCTTTTTTCCAATTTTTTATAATCAATCTAGTTTGGAGTAAGAAAGCGGATTTAAAAAATGCAAAGCACCTGAGAAAATAATTTTTCATGAAAATTTCAAAAATCATCTGCAATATTTTACTAAGTGCAAAGAAACGGAAAAAAAATTATTTAAAAATGGTAATTGATGCAAAACTTCTAGAGTAAATTCAAAGTGAAAATAAGAAGTGGTATGATATTTTGAAAAAGTGGTATGATATTTTGAAAAGTGGTACGATATTTATGATATTTTGAAAAGATAATATGACATTTTGAAAAGTGGTATGATATTTTGAAAAGTAATATGATATTTTGAAAAGTGGTATGATATTTTGAAAAGTGGTATGATATTTTGAAAAGTGCGAACTTGGTTCGAAAAATATTGAAGCAGTTAGAGAAAGACAATATGAATTTACAAGATTATAGATCACAGTGCTAAGATAATTCTGCTATTATGGCTGGACACAAGACTAGTGTTTATTAAACAATCCTAAATAAAAACCAATATGGCAGTATTTGTGAATAGTGATAATCATTTACTTCATTTGGTAGGTATGCATGCTGCGAAAGAAGAAGAAATAATGAAAAATATTTTGTAACCATCGATATTTTCTTCTCTCGTTCAATCAAGTGCTGGG